GTAGCTAAATATGCTAGTAGATGTAGCTAAATATGCTAGTAGATGTAATCTACAGCACTTCTTCAGGTCATCCTCCGTCCTTCATCTGCAGGCAGTGGTATGATTGTTGTACTGTTGGAGCTCTGACAGGTGGTGTTCCTCGATGCTTAAATTAAATCCACAATGATTGAAACTACGTTAGCTCGTACTGTTCGCTCATTAACTGGTTACGGTCTGCACCGGAAGTCGCGCCCATAATCCATGCAAGGCGGCATGGGGCCTTGGAATAAGGTGGATAGCAATGGCCCAGACAAGCAAAGACCTTGTATAATGTTTGACCTTGACCTTTAGAGCTGGGGTGTTGAAAGGATTAAGCAACACGATTTCTAGTGGTGGTGCAAATGTGTATGAAGTTGCGTTAAATTATTTTGAGCGTACTTGAAATTATGGTCCGAACAAGCAAAGCCCCTTGATTTGTGACGTATGGACCAGAATACGTCCGCCTTTTGACAGACGTATAAAAAAAAACATTCTTATTGTTGAACTCTTTCTAGTTTGGCTGACCTACACCACAGAGCTGAATGGAGCTTGCAACCTGTCATTTTCCCAGAATGCAATGCAGTATAAATCAAACGTTGATGTTCGTGTATTATTAATTTAAATAAGATTATAAAAACTGAACAGCCCACTGTTTATTTTGTCTCGTTTTGATAGCTGAAGTAATTGTTGATCAAATAAGGGATATTGTTCCAACTCATCTTAGACATTTTTAACTACTGAAATAAAATACAAAATTACAAGTTGAATCCAGTTTTTAAACCCAGTAAGCCGTTTCATCGATCCGATCCGACCGGCAGTTAGCAGGAAGCTCAAATCAAAGTGATCGAAGTGAAAATGGTTTCACAAAACTTTTTGTTTTTATATAAAATCACGACACAAGTACACAACAGAACCAGACAAACGAGGCATCACCACGGCAACACGAGCAAACACCAAGCGACAACAAACATTGAACACAACGGTTCATGGCCACGAGAGAGAGAGCGCTTACTTCCTGTTGGGATCAAGTCCCTGTCTGGAATGAAGAGTTTATACCCATAATGCTTCTCCAGGACATCGGGGAGGATCTCCAGGGCAAAGCGCTCCTCCTCTCTGGTCTCCTGGCTCCACTGGTCCGGGTCCACTTTGGTGTAGGACAGGTAGGCGTCGTAGTCCTTGTTGTCTGCGGGGAGAGGGAGAACATTCATCTTTACATTAAGCACCAGGTACATCAGAGTATGGACGAGTTTTCATCGCTCAAACCACTAAACACATCGGTTACACCTCCAACGCTCAATCTGTTTCCATACTGGGGCAAGGAGGGCTATCCGTTTACCGGAGACTCCTTCCAGACAGGACGCCTCCATTAAGCTGACCTCTGGGCACCTCGGCCATCTGAGCGCTTTTCATTACGACGCAGTCTCCCCTGACAAATTACGTCGCCTTGACGGCTACGTTGCCCTCCGCTAGCAAAACAAATTGGACTCCGTCCCGCGCCAAACGCCCGCCGCTCGGCCCGGCGCTGCTCCGTCACCCACACGGAGGCGAGGATGGATGGTGGATTTCAAAGAGCTCAGCTGAGCCTGATGGTCAAAGGATTAACATGGAACCATGTCCCGGAGATTTATATAAAAACAAGATGGCTTCAGGCAAAACAGCTTCAGCTAGACCAGGAGGTGGGGAGACATCTTCGAAAGACGATCATCAAAACTAGAGAAACTGCATGAGCGAACGCTGACTGCTGAAAGGATGTCATGGCTAAACGATTACTGTGAGCTGAACCTGAGCAGCCGAAGGCTGCTGAAAGCTGGAAAATAAAAGCTAAAAGTAGCAAAACAGAGCAGAAAAAAGCTGAATAGAGCAAAAATTAGAAGAATAAGCTGCGATAAGCAAAGCGAGGCCGAATAGATCATAAAAACATCTAAAATGAGCAGAAAAAGAAGCTGAAAAAGCTAAAATTAGCAGAAATAGGCTAAGTTGAAATTATTCGAAAGAATCACAGAAGGCATAAATTAGCAGAAAATACCTAAAAAGTAGTGAAAAATAAAAAGCTAAAATTAGCATAAATACCTAAAGTAGCTGAAAAATAAAAAAAGCTGAAATTAGCATAAAATGCCTAAAGTAGCTGAAAAATAAAAAAGCTGAAATTAGCATAATACCTAAAAAGTAGCTGAAAAATAAAAAAAGCTGAAATTAGCATAAAATGCCTAAGTAGCTGAAAAATAAAAAAGCTGAAATTAGCATAATACTTAAAAAGTAGCTGAAAAAAGCTGAAATTAGCATAAAATGCCTAAAAAGTAGCTGAAAAATAAAAAAGCTGAAGTTAGCATAAAATGCCTAAAGTAGCTGAAAAATAAAAAAGCTGAAGTTAGCATAAAATGCCTAAAAAGTAGCTGAAAAATAAAAAAAGCTGAAATTAGCATAAAATGTCTAAGTAGCTGAAAATAAAAAAGCTGAAATTAGCATAAAATGTCTAAAGTAGCTGAAAAATAAAAAAGCTGAAATTATCATAAAGTGGCTAAAAAGTAGCTGAAAATAAAAAAGCTGAAATTAGTATAAAATACCTAAAAAGTAGCTGAAAAATAAAAAAACTGAAATTAGTATAAAATACCTAAAAAGTAGCTGAAAAATAAAAAAGCTGAAATTAGCATAAAATGTCTAAGTAGCTGAAAATAAAAAAAACTGAAATTAACATAAAATGCCTAAAAAGCAGCTGAAAAATAAAAAAGCTGAAATTAACATAAAATGCCTAAAAAGTAGCTGAAAAATAAAAAAGCTGAAATTAGTATAAAATACCTAAAATAGTGAAAAAGAAAAAAAATACGACATTAACATAAAATACCTAAGTAGATGAAAAAGAAAAAAGGATGAAATGAGCATAAACAGTAGTGAAAAAATATCCTGATGCATGGTCATGCTCGATAGTGAATAAAGCTGAAATCAGCAAAAAATATATTAAAAATAGCAGAAAAATAAAAAAAAGCTGAAAGTATCATAACTACCTAAAAAGTAGCTTAACAAAACAACAAGTACAGATTTGTCTAAACTACATCCCACACTGACAGATGATCGAATCATTATCAAATAGTAATTTTAGTTAATTTCAAGACTGAATTAATATTTTCCATGAAGAACAAATATATAAACTGGGCGGGGGTGAGGGGGGGGGGGGGGGGGCATTAAGGCGATCTGAACCACCGACCAGGACAAGACAGTCTGGGAGTTGTCGACCCTCCCCCTCTCCTCCCACGAGGTAATCTTCATGTTGGCCGCTCCTCTGTCACATAACGCCTCCTAATGAACCTAGCTTGTTTTAATTTAATGAATAATTCATCGTACAAAATCCGGAGTGGGGGGGCGGGTGGGGGGGGGGGGGCGTGAAGACATAATTGAGATGTGACCTCACTTATAAACGAACTCCGAGGCATCAGCCTCCTGTCGTCCTCCTCCTCCGGTAGCGGTTGAAGCAGAAGCTGTGTGGGCAGATCAAGGCCTATTTCGGTGCAGGTGATTCACTCGTCTGCTGTGAGGAGGAGGAGGAGGAGGGGGGAGGAAGGTGTGCAGCGGGTGAATCAGAGGCGGGATCTCCCCCCCCCCCGCGCTCCCTCCAAACCTCTTCAGCATCTTGAGAAGCGACGAGCAGGCAGATGAGGGATCTCTACCCACCTGTGTTCCACTTTGCACAGAGGAGCAGCTTTTTTTTGTGTTTGTGCCCGCAGTTCGATTCTGAACTCACCTCGCAGGGAAAGAACAGCCGAAGGTGTAATCTGTAAAATCTGCAATATAATCTGTAATATCTCAGGGCTCCAAGTCGTCTAATGGCAGAGCAGATTAAGAAACATGTTCAGGAGCTTCAGCGGCACTCGGCTAACGAGGGGCTTCGTTGTGTTCTCCTCAAACAAAACGAGTTTAATAATGAAAAGCTGATTTATTGAGGAAAACACAATTTTTGGTGATGTTTGGTGCACATGCAGCGTTGGAGCCTCGTTTTCAACAAGCACTTTAACCTTGTTCATGTTCCACACAACACTCGAAGAGTGGAAGAACTTCGGCTCATGTACGTCCGTCCACACGTTCAGATAGTTCAAGAGACTTAAAGACGCCATTTCCTGTGAAAATGCAGCGTGAACACTCACTGCTGAAACCTGCTGAAACCAGCTGAAACCAGCTGAAACCACCTCAAAACAGCTAAAGCCAGCTGAAACAAGCTGAAACCACATGAAAACAGCTGAAATCACCTCAAAATGGCTGAAGCCAGCTGAAACCAGCTGAAACCACATGAAACCTGCTGAAACCACATGAAAACAGCTGAAACCACCTCAAAATGACTAAAGCCAACTGAAACCAGCTGAAACCACATGAAACCAGCTGAAAA